ATTATCCTCAAGATGTGTTTATAGCTACTTGCAATTTATCCCTTCTTTCTTGTTTACGAAGGAAAGGGAGGGAAAGAGAAGGAAAGGAGGTGGAAAGAAAAAATCTCGTGTTCTCGAGTTTTTTTAGGAAGGAAAGGAAAGGAAAKGAAAAGAAGGCTGATTTTCCTCCCAAATATGGGACGAAAGGGAAGGACATGAAAGAAATAAAACAACAATTAGTAATATTTATAAACTACATATCTACCCATCAAATACAATCCATTGTAATATAAATAAAGGTGTATTTGTAAAATTGACATCTTTCCTTTCCTTTCCTTTCCTTTCTCTCCTGCTAAAACACTGAAACTTTGTTTTCTTTCCTTCGCTTCCCTTGCCTTTCTTTTCTTCGCTCTCAAGGACACAAATAAAAAACATTCTTTCTTTTCCTTTCCTTTCTTTCCCTTCACTTCCTTTTCTTTTCTTCTTAAATTCAGGAACACAKCRTTAAAGAGGATACATCAATTTTTAGACTCTTATTGATTGTAATACCCTACTCTGCCCCTAATCCTATCTTTCCTTGATCTCTCAATTTCATTCAACTTTCACTTATGCCCTTTTCTTGACCATGTGAAAAATTGCAATACTCGYTGTATTGYAGCTACATGTCAAGCCCTCTCAAAGACTTTCCTCGATTATTTCAATAACATGGCAAGCCWAGTTTTTGAGGGAAYTGGGAAAAGGCAATTAGTAGTTAAGATCAAGTTTCTTGCATTTTTCATGTTAATGCCTACATCCTAACTGTAACAATTGTCTCCTAAGCATAGTGTCACTAAGCACATGAGTTCACCATGAAGRTTAGCTCCCAACAAAATTTGAAATTTATGGWGAAGAAAGGGATTAATTTAAACCATCTTTCTCATGGATGGTTATGCCTCTTATCATGTCAGCTATATTCCATGTTGACTATCGATCCTTAATTCATTCAACTTTAAATAAAATGGACCAAAGGAATCCAATTGATCTCAAAGTATGAAACAGCAMCTCCTTGAGTACAGRWWTTAAATTAAACAGAATAGAAAACGAATATGAACCTGTAAACTGCAATCTTTTCCGGTCGCTGCAATTACAAACRAATACCTCCTCTAGATTCTGGATTGACACTGATGGATTGAAGAACATGTGCAATATATATATGCATCACAGTCGAATTAAACGATTTCATCGAATTGGGTTAGATTGACACTGATGGATTGAAGAACATGTGCAATATATATATGCATCACAGTCGAATTAAACGATTTCATCGAATTGGGTTAG